TCGATTTTAATGCCGCGGGGGCAGCGGGAGCGGGGGGACGGGCCGGCGGAATTGTCCGCGTAGAAAAAGCGGCGCTCGCTGGTGGAGAAAATGCGAGCAAGGGCGACGATAAACAAACGCTAATCCATAAATCCTCTTGCAAACGGCAGAAAGCACGCGCTATATATGCGCGGCCGACTCGAGACGTATCAGTGCTGCGTCTGCTGCAATATCGATAAAACATTGATCCCCTATTCGTGCCCGGAGCCTGCCGTATAGGATTCGCAGTGTGCCGGTAGGCAGGCCACCGCCGCCGGCGTCGCTGACGCCGCCACGCCGCCGCGCCTCGCTCGGTCCGTGAGTCCGCACACGCGTACGGAACGGCTGTTCGTGCATACGGAACACCGTTTCCACGGGATTATATTCGACTGCCGTGCGTGCACCTCCTGCACGATACCGGCCTATACATATTTACCCATCTATGTACGTACGGGTACGCGTCTGCCCGTATCGCGATCAGCACGCGAATCACGAACCCCTAGCCGCCAGGAATTCGACGATGATGGAATTTGGGTCGACGGCTGGACGAACTCTTTCTCTTTCTTCCCCCCCTCCCCAGCCGCTCGGCTTTTTTTCTATTTCACTTTTTCGCGTCGAACGCGATCCCCCTTTCCGTCGGCCGCGCGAAGAGCTCCATTTTAGCGCGACTTCGGCTCGCCGGGATCGCCTGACGCAGTTTCTCGTGTCCCCCCGTTCGTGTCTGCCGCGACAACGCGGCTCGCACGAACGAGGAATTTCGTGGTTTCTATTCCCGATTGAAAACAGACGGCGTCTGGCGTCGATATTCGACGGTGTTCGAAATGATTGAACGGAGGAGATAAACGGAGAATTAATCGAGCAGCGGGAGGAAAGCCGCGCGACTCGAGTGAAAAGATCGCCGGATTCTGTAGACTGTACTTCAGACGCGTCGTTTCGACCGGTGCCCCGGGGGCACCGTAGATTTCCAGCTATCAACCGTGAAATAATCCGAACACGAACACTGTCTGAGCCCTTTCACGAGAGCTCGCGGCGTCGCCGTGCGTGCATCCCATTGATGTTAGATTAATTTTATTCCCGGCTGCGCGCCGCGGCGTCTCTATTCGGGGATCATCTTTTCCGTTTAGGAGGCAGCCAGATCAAAGCGACGGAAATCACGCCCGCGCTACGCCAGCGGTGACGACGGCGACGGCATTATCGCCCGCGATTCCGCTCCACGCCTCCCCGCGGAACACCTCGTATCCTTTCCCCAGCCTCCTCGTACCCGCTTCTTGCCGGATCAAAGCGCGGATTTCCGGCGGGGCAACGAATTGGCAAACTTCTCTCTGAAGATGGAACAGTAATTATAAGGTCGACGACGAGGTAACCGGGTGCGGGGATGAGGGGGCGGCCGAGGGAAAGGGTAAGACGGCCGGTCGAAGCTTGGACCGGCAAAGTCGTAGACGAACGATGGCTCAAACACCGCGCCGCAAAATTCACAATCTAATTCAACTAAGCAAATTACCGGCAACTTCCTGGGCGGTAGCTACGCACGCTGTCCTGTCCCTTCGGCCTGCATTCCCAGAAACTTAGATCAAAGGGGCCGACGGATCTACCACCCTGTACGCCGGCAGCTTGCTCCTCCTGTTTCGGTATATGGTCCGGCCCTCCGGCCCCTCCTCTCCCTCCGCCCACCTTTCATCTCCGCGTTTCATACTTCCGGGGTCTCTGTCCCGGCGAATGCGCGACGAATATCGAATTCTGGCTCCTTGACCGGTGGTCACCGCCGGGAAACCCTGTCGGCGCCAGGGCTCCTTCTCAAATGTTTCGACGAGGGTTGGGTTCCGTGTAACAGGTTACTGCTTGTTATTTCCTAGTCGGGTCCGGTTTTAAAGCGACCCTTGCTCTTAACTTACCCTCGCGTGATTGTTGTTTACAACAAACTGTTGTATAATCTTCTTCGTCGCCGTCTAATGATACTATTCGACGCTCTTTGGAAATTCTCCTTCCGAGACCACCGTTGACGTCGCATTTGAACGGTAACGCAGGCGCCGAGGAATTCGCAGCTGTCCGAGAATGATCGTTAAATTTCACCGTTATGATAAATTGATGGCGGATGGTATCGCGGGCCGGATGCCGGGCCAGCTTCGTCTGACCGGGTACGGGATACGAGCTAAGCCGCGGTCTCCAGGCACGCTTAATGAAGAATTAAAGTCGACCTCCGCGTTCCTATTACGAGCAGCTACGATACACGGACGAGTGGCTAGACCCGTGGATTCCGAGGATCCGCGAGCGGTGCATGTTTGATGCCGGAAGTGCTTCGAGGCCCGGGCCTACCATCCTCTAGCTGCGGTTACCGCAACCTCCGTAGGGTCATTAGCCAACCATTCATTATGCAAGTGCGAGGCAGTATTGCGTCAATATGGGGGCGGCAGATTGTTGGCCCAATCGATAACAATGCGCCGTGTTTACCGGTCGGATAATCAACAAACGCAGCTTCTGCTACCTCGCCTTCGAAGACCAAGCAAGTGGGAATTACAGTCTGCCTCGTTCCGAATGATATTGCGTCCCGGAAGTGTTGCCTACCCCTCTCGCGTCCCTTCAACCAACCTCTGTCTCTCTGTACATTCGTCAGCGTACTCCTCTTCTCTCTCTCTCTCTCTTTCTCTTTCGCTCTGCCTAGCTGTCTCCTCTCCTTATCCACCCCCTTCTAGCGCTGTTCCCGCGACGCACAATGCCTGATCGAAACGACGGCTCGCGAACCAACGGCTGTCTTTATTTTTCGCCGATTGATTCCGACGACGTTCGAAGAATGTCTGATGCTTCCTCTCGACTGCTCCCGAAGACGGAATTCTTCGACGGTGGCGCAATGCGTGCGAGCAAGCTTTCAACCGGAGGATTCTCCGCGACATACGCATAGTTCTATCATACGGGAGAATTATTTGTCGGGAACTTCCTGAGCGAAGATAGTTGAGCTGTAGTCGCGAAGAATGGGAGAGTGTGATATTAAAAATTGCTCGTCGCTTTTCACGTGATAAAGCCGCTTCGAATTATCTTTCCGGATGGCGCTTGAACTTCTGTTTTCTTTTGGGTTGCAGCTCTACCGAGCAGCCGGACGGTAGCAAGCAGATTCTGACCACCAGTCTGACGCGTCACTGTAAGTACCTCCATTTTTCTTCGTATATATTTAATCGGCAGCAAGTGATGATAGTTTGCTATTAGTCAGGCAGTATTCGTTTTCATAAGCTATTCGGTAGTCTTCGTAGTAACTACGTTTAATCCAGAAAGCGTGTAAAGTTGTAACAAATACTATGATCTCTACATTTTTTAATCGAACTCCAACGAAAGTTGCTCATCTTAGCCCCAAGAGACCAAGCTTCCAGCCTATACTATCCGGCAATCTCTTCCCAACAGATTCCCGCGTCAACCGCGCGCATGTTACACAAGAGTAATAAAATCAACATCGCTTACCCTAACAATAATAACTCGTCTCCTTAAGTACCAACCCCGACAATCGTACTTCGTTTCAGCCCTCCTCTAAGAAACGAGAACGAGACAACGGAGCTTAACAATCGCTCCTCCCACTTATCTCTCGCCGGTAGCGCGCTTCTCGCGGAAACTCAATGTCGGTCCCGGCCGTTATATAAGGTGTACTTTAATACGTTGGCGGCTGCGATTCTTTTGTAGCCGGCTTTCTGTCACTTTAACGGGCGCGACGGCGGCGAGCGGGGTAGAGGGGGCCGGAGTCGCGACTTTCGCATGGAACTTCCACTTTTGTTTCCTCCGTCCACGCAATAACGACTCTAATCTCCTTACGTTTCCAAGCTGTTTTTGCGGGCCGAACGGGGAGCGCTTACGGCGTTGACCAGTCGGCTATAAGGGACTTACAATTTACTTCCGTGTAAGAGGCTTTATGCGGCGCACTGCGCGTAAAACGTTGCGCTACCAGGGGACTTTACTTAACGTTCATTCCGTTTTACATTCTCCGGAACGGGAGCGGAGGGAAAGTAGTACGGCTTTATTGCAGACAACACCTACTTCTCGGCGACGGCACTCGGCCGTAGGACCTTCATAATGGAAGGAAAACGGACCCGCGCGCCTTTCCTTCCGGCCCGTGCCACGAAATTACCGCGACCGCGATCCGGCGTCTCGAACTTGCCGAACAACCGTCGCGTTCTCGTCGCGAGAGTTTCCCCGATTACCGCGCGACCTTTTCAAACCCGCGGTAAATTGTTCTCCCGACTGTTTCGTTATTCATGCGAAGATTCCTTCAGAGAGATTGTACACTCGATACGTAACATGAAAGCCGAGGAGTCTTTCTTTTAAACGTTAAACGAAGTTTGATGTAACATGCCGAGTGTACCGCCGGTGCTCTTTATTTTCCTTTCTACGTTCGTTTCCGATTGCCTCAAAGATTCTGAAGTGTAAGGGAAACACGTCTGTCCAGTTACTGTCTTATATCACTTGTCTCCGACTGCTTTATACGTCGCAAGAATTTCCTTTCCTAGATACGCTGCAAAGGGAACTGTGACCCTCGCGATGCTATCAGTGTCCCTTTATTTTACTAGAACAACGTCTGAGCGGTGACAGACTAATATCGCTGCTTTTTATTGCCGGCCCTCTCCACCTTAACTCGCTCGCGACGAGTAACTCCTTTTCTTCCCCGTGTTCCGCTCCTTCTGAAAAATACTCGGAACGGCGTGGGAGCGATAAAAAACGTTTAAGCCCTTCGTGATTACCGTCATCAGGATTTCACGTCGCTCCAATTATTATAATACCGCCTCCTAGAAGTTTCATCTTTTCACGGTTGCGTCCCGGGATCGCCGGCGCGGGAACAGGTTTCAGCGCATTTTACGGCCGTCTCATCGAGCGAATCATCGCGCGCTCTTGCTTAGAACACCCGCGGGACTTTTGAAGGACAATCCAATTTCCAGGGCCGGCTTCGCGTCACGAGGATATTGTTTTCAAGGGGATTCCGGGACGACTGTATCGAAAGTCTCGATTTCCGAGCGCTCCTTCCGCGATGTTCGCCATCAACAATCGCATTTCCCCGATGTCGCGCGACGATCTCTCCGCCCTCCCGCGGTTCCAGCGTCGCGTCGACGGGAATCCCGCGCGCTACGACGCTCCGCGGCGGCCCCGTGTAATTAAATATGCGCACGATACCGCATACTCGACGCAATTACAAAAATTAATCGCATTTCTAGAATTATCTGATCCGACCGGGCGCGCGCGTACTAATTGAACGTTTATTCCGGTTTTCAACAGTCGCGTGCCGATTTAATTAAGTATTTTGTTTCGCCGTGATTACGAATTTGCGCGCGAAATTATTTACTCTGGAAATAATGTTCCGCCGTCGTTTGGAGCCCCCTCGCCACCCCCCCCGGGGCTCCACCACCGCTCTCGTCGCCGGTCGCTGCGAAGCGTCCGCCGAAACGTTACGCCGCGGCGGTCCACACGCCCCGTCGTGTTTCACTGTTTAACCTTTTTACCCGCGCGGACTCGAGAAATATTTCTTCTCCACTCCTGCGGCCGATGAAAGCCCGGGACAGCGGCCGTCGAGTGTCAACAAACGTAAAAGAAATATTTTCAGGTCGCGGTATAAAACCTTTTAATTAAACATCCCCGTTCCTCCGTAAATGAAGAAAAGATTTTTCATTATGTAAATCTTGGAGGGACACTCTTGGAATCCCTTTGAGTCCCCCCGACCACTCGGCCGCCCTTTCGAACACCGCGAACTGAATACTTCATTCCGCTTCTGGAATTCATTTTCCCCTTAATAATGAAACACGAGCCGCCCCCTTGGTCGAGTTCGCGGTTGTCGTGTATATTCTAATTACCCGTAATCTCGCGGTCGGGTTCTTGAAAATCGCGGCCTATCGCGGCCGCCGCGCGGAGATTAAACGGAACGGGAATAATCCCTCCGATTGTCCTGCAGCGCGTAGACGTAGCGAGACAGTGGTGATGGACAGTCACCATTCGGACGGCGCTTCGATAATCGATGTGTAATTGGCATGAGACGAACTTAATCATTCGCCTATCCCGATTATTACCGGCCCGTCTTTCGAGTGATATGATATGTTTCATTTTCTACAGAAAGAATTTGATATCAGACTGATAGGTATCGACTAAGCTTCAAACTTCTAATTAATTATACGGAGATGGAGGGATAAAATGTACCTGATCTTCAAGCCACTCTGCTACTCACCACAATCGAGCAAGTCTCGCAAAATTCGATTCGATAATTCTACCTACGGATCACACGCGAATCTCTCGATCGACGCTCCATCTTTTTCCATTTCGACCATCAGCGACCTTCCGGCAGTCGATCACGAGACTAGAACGCTTTCCAAACTCAATGACCGCGTCTAGGCTGTTGAGAAATGAGCTGACCACGGTCGCGAAGTCGGCCGATAGTCTAAGCTCGACGACGCCACCGATGGACGGCCGTGGGAGGACACTTCGGTGCGCGGTTCGCCAGCAGCGTAAAACAAATCCGTCTTACTCGAAAGTCCCCCGGAACAGATCAGAGCCTGCAGTCGCAACGGCAGAAGTAATCCCGATCGGAGAATCGTTGAATAGCCGATGCAGCTCGGTGTTAGTTAGAAACCGCGCCCAGCCCGAGGGGTGGGTTTACATCGCAGTTAAGTTTCGCAGTAACGTCCGCGCAGGGCGTGGGCGAGGGGCTGCGACGCTAAACCGACTTCCCCGGTCCCGCTGCCGGCGTGACGACGATACACCGCGCGGATTTACCGACCATTTGGCAAATGAAGACGAAACTGCCTCGTAGATTACCGTGGCCGCGATACACCAACGACAACTCGAACCCCCTAACGCGTCCTCCTGGCCAATCGGAACGGCCGTCCGTCAGTTAACTTCGGTATTTGCCGATGCTTTGTTCCCCCTCGCGTTTCGGGGGTGAGGTCAGAGTTCGAGCTCCGCGAGATTTATGCGGAGATCCGTCTAAGGGTAGTTGCTTACTTTTAAGCAATATGGTTAGCTTAACTGCCCGTGAGTTACGCGTTTGATCGTTGATCGTCTCTGCGCTTGATAGTCGCCTCCCAAAATCCTCGGGAAGCGTTCGTAATTGTGAACGATCTCCACGATGCGGATGGGAAGAGGGTTTATTAGTTCGTAGAGCCGTAGGTGTCTTAAAGGATTGTGTTTATGAGCATCGGAAATTTCTATGAGGCAGATTTTATTACCGGTTCAAAGGAATACTCGTGCCCGATAAGGGAATATCCGGAAGTAATGGCAGAACCTAACTGACAAACGCCGTCCCTAACGAGTCGAGGTCCGACAGTCGCAGAAAATCGACTAAATCATCTCCAGAAGCAATTACAAATCTCACGGTGGCAAGGCCAGAACACAGACCCGCTCTCACAGAACCGGGAAGAGACGCTGACAATCGACCTCGCAATCACTGTAGCCAGAATCACGACCTCGCTCTTCTGATCACAAACGACTCGCTTCTGAAAGGTTTAGCGATGGTCCCGTTTGCCTTCAATCGACTCGTGCTTTGACCTTCCCAGACGGGCGAATGTGGAAATTCTTCTTTGTAATCAATTAAACGGTAATTTCCACTGTACCTTTCCTCTGACAAATCTCTTTCTCTCTCTCCCCCTCTCTCTCTCTCTCTCTCTCTCTTCTTCCTTCTCTCTTCCTCGGCGTTCGGTTCGCGACCGAACAACTTTAAGTGTCTTCCGCCGTTCATTGGCACTGTTTAATTGGTGTAATTGCCGTCCCGATGGGCGAAGCACGTTTTCCAGTTCGCCGTGCCGCCCGGTACGCGCGTTTTATTTGTTCCGGATGATTATTGAAATTGCATCGAACGTTTCAACGTCGCTGCCTACAGCGATAGAAATATTCTTTCCGTTCGGTTGGCTGGAGACACTCAACTTCCCTAGTTTTATCGCACGACTCGTTGCATTCCGCGTCGGTCGGACACTCGAAATCAATTTCCAAGCGTCTACGGTGTATAACCGAAAATGACTCGAAGTATCACGGCCGTCTACTCGCGGCGGTTATTCGATTCCGCCGAGGCAAACAAAATTTATGACCGAATCGTTTTACGGCAACGTTATAACCTCATCCATCCTCATCGATTATCGTCGCTTTTAATATCCTCCCTCTCATCCTGGCGAATCAACAGACCCT